TTCTCGCTTAAAATGTCAGCTTAAGCGAAGAAAAATTGACTCACCTTCTTTGTAACGATTTTCCACGTTTCACCCGACGAGGGAATGGGTAAATAAAGTAAACTTGTCGAGTTTTGAACTCGAAAACTTTTTCAAATTCGTGCTTGCGTGATTAGCGCGCGAAAAGCCAAACAACTTGACGCCACAACCATGTTTACATACTCATGCAAACACTCCTCTCGGCCAATCAGAGCGCGCGTACTATCTTGGTTATTTTATAAATGTGTATATATATGTGTGTATGTATATGTAAATTTCCAGCCATATAACAATTCCGTTTGTTGACGGGATGTTTTTTTTTTTCTGTAGCCTGAAGGAGTTCGTCAGGAGTACACCTATAACAGCTTTGTATGCCTCAAAGGTACTTTAGTTACCTTGCTTGGGTTTAAACTGTTTGGATTGAGGTTTTTTTTAATTATCTTACAATTTAAATAGAGCAAAGGAAGCCTTTCACCCTTAGACCCAAGCAGGATGTTTTTTCTCTCTAACTTTAAAATCTATCGACCAAATTCATCCGTCTTAACATTCAAATGAAACCTCTTCAGCAGTACTTTCACATGGTACTATTTATTTGGTATATAGTTCTAACTATTGAGTCAGTGGATAAAATCCCATAGTGTTACCATTCAAATAAAACCTCTTTAGCAGTATTTTCACATGGTACTATTTATTTAGTATGTTGTTGTAACTTTTGAGTCTGTGGATAAAATCCCATCGTCTTACCATTCAAATAAAACCTCTTTGGTAGAATTTTTGCAAAGTACTATTTTGTTCAAGTATTTTTGTACATTGATTACTATTTGGGGTGAAAACGTTATCAACTTTTTCTAAAACCTTCAAGTAAATGATTTTGTACCCGATTAAACGCATTTTATTCTTTATTATTTACTTATAACTTTTCTTCTCTGTTTGTGTAATTTCCTGTAGATGAATCTTATTTTAATGACACCATTAAGATTGCATTGCCCAGCAATGTGGTTGCTGGTTCGGTGTATGCAGTTGTTTCTACCGTCGGTGAGTACCGTCTTTGCACAACTCATTACTAATAACTTGACCGTTTTCTTAATGCGATGTATTTTGCTTTGAAAATGCTTGTTATCCACCCACGTTCACTATTTTGTAGGCACGTCTTTGATAGCTGCAACCTCTTTTGTTTACACCTGACACAGACTTGACCACCCAGCTTCAATCCCGACACCCATGAACCCCACTACCGGTTTTACCCTCTGTTTTTTTTTAAACAGCAATCTGGAGCGCTTACCATTTGTATAGAAAACCGGAAAATTCCGGGGAGAATTCAAATAGAACGATTTATCCCGGTGGAAAAAAAGTAATACCTTTTGAGGTATTACCTTTTTCCCGTTCTTACCGAAACGACCGAAATTTTCTGTACGATTTGTTTGGATTACCAGTGCCAGGCTTCATGTCGAGAGAAAGTGAAAAATTTACCGGTATTTTGTAAATGGTACAACTCAATCCCGTTCCTGTTTTCGGTGCCCAAAAAAACACTAGTACCATTTGACAGAAATTTTTCACCGAAATTGCCGTACAAATGGTAAGCGCTCCTGGTTTCTTTCCTTTCCGAAGGTGATAAGGCCAACAGCTTTAGTTCACTGTCTTATGACGCGGTCATCTGACTGAGACGAAGTTTTTGAAGGGATAGGTCGCAGTCTTTTCTTTTTGCTCTTTGAAAATGATTCCCGAGCACTATAAATCAGATTCGAGTTTTATCTGTTCGACAGGTGATCTTATGGGACCAACTTTGAATGTGGAGGGTCTGCTAGGACTTCCAAAGGGCTGCGGCGAACAAAACATGGTGAACTTTGCACCAAGCATTTACATCATGAAGTACTTGTCAACAGTGGGACAACTTACTCGTTCAGTTGAAAACAAAGCCAAGAACATCATGACGAAAGGTACTATCAACATCTTTCGTGAACTTACCTAATTCAGATACGAAAGGTGATTCATAGGGTGTGCAGACGGGGCATTGGACCGCCAAGAGGGGGGGCCAAAGTTTGCGAGCTTGATGGGTTTAACATTTCCCAATTCCCCTAGGTGTGAAGCTCCTTTCACACACACTTTCTCTGTGCGCAAGTCTTTTGAGTGTGATTTACTGTAAGTGGTATCATAAACGTACACAGATTAAATTGGAAAATCGCACACTCTTAGCATTTGCGAATTTTTATAAGCCACCGTAAGGAAATATCAAAAGATGGGATCTCAATCTTTCCTTATTAGACCGCCCTGAAAAAAAAATGCCTTTACATGTACATTTGTAAACATTTTCAACCTACACTGGAAGGTTTTGGTACCATTTGTGTGTACAAGAATCCAATACTGAAAAGAAAGCTGTGGGTCCTTGAAAAGAAGGAAAAATTCGCCACTCCTACACTCCAAACTACTTTAAGAATGGGTGCAAGTTCTCGGCGCAACGACGTTTGAGATCGTTTTATTGGACAAGTTTAGTTATGATTGGTGAATAGTATCCAAATTCAACCATAAACCAGTTATTGCACGTATTGTCCACCCAACCGATTCCAGAAATCTTTATGCTGAAGATTTGTACCCATTCCCCTTACAGTTTGTAGTGTTACGTAACAGCGTTTGGAGAATGTTTTTTCTCTGATTTTCCTGACCCACTGGATTATTTGTTCTCCAACTTGGCGCATTTTTACCAGCTACAAAAGGCTCATTAAAAGTCATTTCCAAGCCGCTGCCTGGATGGGCAATACGCATTTCCAGTAACCAACAAAAGGAATCCCGCTCTTAGCGGTGATTCTGAGAAACCGCCTACCTCTCCCTCCCTCCCATAATTCCACGTTTCAGGGCAAAATGTTGGGTTAGGGGATGGGTGGGTGAGAATTTTATGCTGATCCCAAAACTTTTGGTTGTTAATGATTGGTATTAGGATACCAGAGAGAGTTGACGTACAAGCGTTCGGATGGATCATACAGTGCCTATGGAAACAGTGATAGCGAAGGAAATACATGGTAAGTAATTATTAAAAAGTAGTTCGTATTTGACAGAAGTCTTGTGAAGTGTAGTGAGGACACAGGTATCCCAGGCTCTGTGATGGTACCATAGTATGAATCCTATAAAATTACAGTGTTTGTGTGGAGTAAAGTTACGATCCTAAAATTTGTAACTTTGTGGAGGCTAGCAGTCGGCTATTGAAACACGAGTTCGTGGAGTTTTACTCTGTTCATCCGAGAGACAAGTAAAGAAGAGGACTCGAATCGGATCCAGTACGTTTAACAAATTGACAACAATATTCCGTGTTCTATACTTTTATCGACCATATAAATGACTTCAAAATGTTCATCACACTCAAGTGGTTTCACTGCAAAGTTTTAAACATTTTGATGCCTTTTCTGTGGTCAATAATAGTAAAAACTATGGAAATTTGTCATCGACTTGTTTTTTAGAATAACTTTTTCATTGAATTTTCTCGGTAAATCGCGCACGCGAGAAAGAGAAAATGCGCGCCGTGCCACCATCATCTTTTTCACCCATGGTCTGTGCTCTCATCGATTATTTTCGACCAATCAGCGCGCGAGAAATCGTTCAGTTGTGTGAAATAACCATTCGATCACCCTTTCTTGTCTGTGCCAGAATATTGATGGTGTCTTTCTTTCCTCATAGGTTAACAGCCTTTGTGCTGCGCTCATTCGCTCAAGCGCGTCCATTTATCTTTGTTGATCGAGACGAACTTAAACAAACCCAAGACTGGATCACGAAGTATCAAAACCCACAAGATGGATGCTTCAAAAAATCTGGAAGTCTTTTTAACAAGCGTCTCAAGGTTGGTGTTATTCCTAAATTTCCTGCTTTCTTCCATTTTAAATTTCATTTTGTGTTGCAAATGTTGGATGACTCTTGCGAATCTTACCCTTCCTTGTTTCAGGGTGGTGTTTCAGATGAAGCAACGCTTACAGCATTTGTCACAGTGTCCCTTCTGGAATCTGGGATGTCTCCTGAGGTATTACTAATTACATGCTTAATTCGCTCTCTCCAGTTAGCGGTAGAATTTTGTGTACAGCCACTGCGGAAGTGTTGAGTGGAAGTCAAGTGAAAACTACTCCACCTATTGTAAACAGCCAACTCGTGTTCCACACTCCCATCTTTTTTTGATACGAAATTTTTATTTCTTTACCCATGGGAAGCCCCTTAAATGTAAGACCCTTAAGAAAGAAGATGTTAGTTTTTTTTGTTTTTTTTTTACGCCTGCTTGTATTGGGAGTTGGAGAAACAAGAATGGTTTACAATGGAGACATTCTTCTTCTGGCTGCGGTAATGGGCTAGCATCCTATGCAGGGGGACGTAAAAATACCCCGAGCAGCTTCATGCTACAGAAATCCCCGGTTAATCTCCAAATGCGTGGGCTTTATGACATACCTCTGGCGGGGGCAAGGGGAGGGGTAACCCTGCGGCAACGGGAAAGCATCCCATAGAGTGAAATGTAACAATACCCCTAGGTGCTTCATACTATAACAGAAGCCGGTGATAAGCTCCAGATTAATGAGCCACTTGACTCTTATGAAAACTCTAACTTTACTTGCTTGAATAGAGATTAGTAGTATGATGTCACGTTACCATGGTAGCAAAAGTTTTGGATCTCAAGAATCTTTCTTGACAGAGACGGCCATTTACACTGTCAAACGATGGAAGAAAAGTATGGGCTACCATTTTGTTCCTGAGAGCAGTCAAGCACAGGAAAGTCATACATGTCAATTTTTTCGTTTTTTTTTCTGCCATATTTTCAGGACCACAGTTTGTTGAGACCCAGATATTTTGCTATCATCATGTGACGTAACCACTTGTCCTCTCTATAAAGCGCTTTGTCAACTTAAACAAATTTTTTTCACGTTTGAATTTTTCAGAGCAATGTTATCCAAGGTGCACTTATTTGCTTGCGGGATGCATCTTTCAATCTCACTGATTTATATTCGTTGGCCTTGTTTGCATACACCTTCACCCTGGCCAAGGATCCCACTGCCGCCCGTTTATTCAAGGCGCTTCAAAGCAAAGCCATCGTTGAAGGTCAGTGTGGTCCATAAAATGAAAGTTACCTTTCTTGTCGTTTTGCACACCAAGAGTGGCGAATTGAATGGCATTTTGACTTTTGGGTAAATAAATGACACATATCCAACTCATATCAGGCTTTATCGACCTAGGTCACGGATTCTGAATCTTGGCAAATTAACCCTAAATTGTTCGAACTTGTAGCGTGTTAACCTGCGAAAACAGCCGTCTCTCCTTGCTCCTCGCCACTAGTGACGCCGCTAGAGTCGTTTACGCGTCTGGGACCTGGTCAGGAGCTCTGATTGGTCGACGTTGTAGTTATATTGTTTTAGCTATTGTTTACGAAAGACAGACAAAAGACAAACGTCCAATGCAAATGCAATGAATTTACTACAAAAAAGTCAATATTCGTGGATTATATTCTTCTTTACAAGACGCATTTGAGTTACACAAAAATTGATTGAATTGCTCTTGTCCGAAAAATTTTTGTTCGAAACTCGATACTCAAAATCAATCGGGCATTTAATTATCTTCTCTTGATTCACTTAATTCTTTGCTAGCATCCAAAATTTTTTCTTTTGTCGGTTGCTATGAAAGAAAACCTAACCTCGAAGACCTTAGTTTTTGGACTTTCTGTGATTCCGTCATTATCAAGTCCAATTTGAGCCTGGGAATGAGTTACATACGTCTCAACAGAAGTAATTCTATTGTAATTTGAAGTAGTAAATTTTCAACTGTTTCTGTATTTTTCTTAATTAAAAATGTGCTTGTCCCCCGAACAAGTCATGTCAAAAGATTTCATGTCTAAACTATTATTCTACCTGTCCTGGACAATCGGTTTTGGCGCACCCTGCCACGTCAATGTCAGAACAGAATTAAAATGTAAATGTTGTGTTGTTCATTTATACAGCTGGACTGATGTATTGGGGAAAAGAAAAAGTGGTGCCACCGAGTGACAAGTTTTATAATCGTGCTCCAGCCGCCGATATCGAGTTGACTGCTTACGCTTTGATGACGTACATCTTACAGGCTAAGGAAGATTCGTCGTTGATTGGTCAAGCCATGCCCATCGTCAGGTGGCTGACTAAACAGAGGAATGCTCTGGGAGGATTTGCATCCACACAGGTTAGTAGAGTACACAGAGCCCGTACTCTGTTTGAAGGACGCTTTGATTCCTTTGTTCATGGTTTGGTATAAACATACGCTATGCGATGGAGTTGCCAAGTTAAATGATGAGGTTATTCACGTCATTTATCGTTACAGGACACGTGTGTTGCGTTGCAAGCCCTGAGCAAGTATGCCAAAGAAGTGTATTCTAACACTACATCACTTTCTGTTCGGTTTGGAGAGCAAGGTGACCAGAAGTTCAGTGCCGAGTTTAACATCACTGAGGACAACAAAATGGTGTCACAGAGAGCTGAGGTAGGCTGTGTAGGATGGTGCTAATTTTCCCTTAACTGCGGTTGATTAAGACATTAGCATGTTTGTGTTCACAGGTGTTAACAGTGATCACATCCACACACAATTTGTCATTATCGTACTTAAGATTAAAAGCTCTTCATATTCCGTTTTCTAGAAGAAAGAAATTTCACCGCGATTTCTTGTATTGACAGCGTTTAGCATCTGCTTGCCCCTTGAGAAACCACTTGACCTTGCTTTTTCCCATCGGTCCTAAGGCGCGTACAGAGATGGGCGTGGGTACTCAGCCCGCCTTACTCATTCACCGTTATTGTTAGAAATATGTCCCGGATTACCAGTTCCTCAAGGTCATTGTTCAAATGTGTACAAGTGTGGTAACATGTTGATCTAATTATCCATTTCTCAGGTTCCTTCGAGCATTCTACCCATCAAGAAACTGCCATTACAAGTGCAGGGAGAGGGCTGTGCTCTAATGCAGGTTTGTTGCTCCATCCCTTTAATTTTTCTTTTTCCTCATTCACTTCCTTTTTACTTTACCCGTTTCTCTGATGATGTTGTGGACTGTAGGTAAAACCCGCGGGGAATAGCTTGAAAGATTATGGGTAAGTTGGATAACGTGTTTTCCAGCCATCTTTAATGTGTGACCGCGACCACTCTATAGAGGTCACGTGATAAGTTATTGAGGGAACCCTTTTTTTTCTGGCGAATTGACAAGCGACTGCTTAATACATCTGTTAAACTTGAATCAAAGCAAATAACGAGTTCCGCAAAAAAGCAGGCAGAAAACTACGATATTGGCTAGATTATTTTTGGGCTTAAAATAAAATGTGCTTACTTCGCTTTCTGTCCAGGCGGATGTGTCGTACAATATTCCAGACGTTAAAGAAGAGCCAGCGTTCGACTTGAAAGTAAAACTCAAACTTTCTGAAGATCTAGTGGATCCTCTTGCAACAGAGACGGGAGAGTTTCTGTGTATGCCTTTGGAAATGTCCATCTCAGCCAAGTAAGATCCATTTTGTTTACATTTTCAGTTTTTTGCTTTTTGTTCATTACAGAGATAGATTCACGCTTTCTGCAAACGGCAAACGTCGGTAGGTCGTTTCCGAGTTTCCCAAGCCTCTATTTCAAAACGAGGCTACGTGCATTTTATATTCTCATGCAAATGAAGCTCGTTATCACAAAAAAGGGTTTTCACTTAACCTCGTTTTGAAAGTGATGGTTTTTTGAAATTCTGAAATGGCCAGTTGGAAAATTTTGCAGAGTTTTTATCTGTTCATATTCTTGTACTGCAAAAAATTGTCAAAGTGAATCAGTTTCGCGCCATTTGCCATCGTAACTTCTAAATCTGTCTGTCTGTTGTTTATGCCTCCAGTTGTAATTTTAGTCTATTTTCAAAAAAGAGAATCCCTGTACTTGAATTTATATGTAAGGTGTTTCTTTCTGTATGTTATTGTATTTCTTTTCTTTTTTCTTATGTTATTTGATATCGCCTTTATTTAAAGTTTTGTCCTGCCTAGATTAGCACTATATCTATTTGCTGGGGCATAAAGTATTGTAAACTTTATAGTCCTGTAAATAAATACATTGTTGTTGTTGTTTGTTATTAAAAAAAACCTTCCAAGTTTTTTATTTGGTTTGGTGTCTGCTAATTTAGGTGGCTGAAGGAAGACTCGTCTAACATGGCGGTTATTGACGTTAAACTCGTGTCAGGGTATCAAGTGGACGAAGAGAGCTTGGATAGGGTAAGTGTTTAGTGAATAATATTCCAGTAATCGGAGACCCTTGTTATGCGCACGGCATTGCCCGCGGTCATAGAATAACGCATTTTCGATGTGATTTTTTTGAGAAGCGGAGGTTGTCTAATGTTGGCGTAAGTTTGTGTGACAGTCCTGTTAATACGGACACTTTCTATGGCCCCTTTGGTGTCCGTATTAACCCTTCAAACATTAAGATCAAAATTTGAATTCTCATTTGTTGCTTCTATTCATTTCCACCAAAGTAGTGGGAAGAAGTTGATAAAATATTTAGCAAATTCATCTTGTGTGATCATGTCCTTAATTCTCATAACCACTCTGTTTTACAAAGTAATTAGATGACAAGGAGAAATTTGACGCTGATCACTCTTAGGGCTTAAAGGGTAACGGGCTTTGACTGTACATGTTTTCTTCTAGTTGATGAACCACGCTAAACTTGGAATGAAACGATACGAAATTGAGGGCCAACACGTGATTCTTTACTTTGATGAGATTGACAAGGTGTCGTTCGCGTTCAAGATTTATCAGTCAACCCTTGTGGCAAAAACCAAACCAGCCTCGGTCACCGTCTATGACTATTACGAGACTCGTAAGTACACTGTAGATAGGTTTCTGCAAAGCTAATAGGAAGATACAGATACAGTGTAAGAACCTACAGTTTTAATTAAAGTCTGGCAAAAAAGGTTTGTGTTTTGGGATAGTTATTGGTAGTTTAGGCTAGGTAGGTTTTTAATTAGCTAACTAATTTCTATGAAGGAAATATATTTGTCGAGTACTAGAAAAAGAAATATGATTGGGCTTGGTTCTTATATATACGGTGTTTTATGATGAACCTAACTAAAATGATATGTGGGATTATCTCTATAACAAGAGTTGTCAAATAAAAATAATATAGTAAATAAATGAAGTATTTTCCTGTAATACAAATTTGCAATCTCGAAGTCAAACATCTTGCTCAAATTTTTTATCATAATTTTACTGTATTTTACTTATAAGAAACTGCTTGATCCTTTTTGTTCTTATATTTTTTGGGTATTAAAGTGGCAAATTTCTGGCAGCAGGTTCTTAAACCACAAGTCGGCTCTTACATGAGGGATTTAACTGTATCAAGAGAATTTTAGCGGCCAACTGTGAAAATTTTTTTGTGACTGGGGATGGTGTAATTACGAGATGAACAGTCCCACAAAACAAAACAAAACTTGCTCACCCACAATATTACGAGTGGTCACTTGCTCCGCAACAACAAGAAATACCCCCTCCCCTGTGTCTGTTAGAAATCTACTCTCGCTTTTGTAATACATAGCAAAAGGTGATAAAGAGGGTGATATCTGAACAGACAACTCGCAGTCGATAGAAACAGAGATTTTGGCAACAAATTAAAATTAAGCCATCATACAGAATTTCGTTTATTGCTTACCTCCATGTAACTGAAAGGTGTCGATTGACGTCATCTGACCTGACATCTCCATCTTGTTCAACCGTAAGTAGAAATTCATTTCTGAATTGTGCTTTTTGTTATGTTTCAACAGATCTTTCTGCAACGGTGATGTACAAAATCACCGAGGACATGTGCTCACCGGATTTCGTTCCAATCGGTTAGTTTCTTCATTGTAATAAATTTGAAATAACATGCGCGTCATCTTGCTTGTGGAAGTGAGAGTAGACGTTCTTAGGAACGCGTTTCTCACGCGTTTCTTCCCCATAGTCGTGGAAAGCGAACCGGTGACGAAGCCATAAGCACGTCTGTGTGAGAGGCTAGTTAAGGGTAGGGAGAGAAAGGGCCTCTTTTGCTTCTTCCCCTGTCCACTCCCACCATTATATTGTCACAAGAGTAGTAGAATGTCCCGTAAGCTTTTCTCCTACGCTTTGCGTTGTCACGGGACGTCATGAGGAATGTTGCGTGACGACACAAAGAAAGGCTGCGTAAGGGACTACCCGTGAGCGAATACCTATAGCCTGCGAGCACGCTCTCCCGGGGCACTCTAGCGTACTGACCGCCATATCCCCGTATGGGACTGCTCGTAACATTTTTTGGGAGCTAACCGTTTATTAAAATGTACTTTGTCCCAATGGCTGCATTTCGTTACTAAGCCCTATGCTCTTTTTCTCTTTTTAGATCAGCCCTGACATCAGTGGCGAACAGATATGCCTTGTTTATATAATGTCGAAAGCTGCGTATAGGTCCCTGCCATGATTTATGTCGTCTAATGAAAATTTATTTTCATCTTTGCCAATTTTAATTGATTTCACGTGATTTTTCGATTCAGAGTTCATTTACGGCTTAAAATGGCTAAAGAAAATTATTGAAAACGAAGAGCACAATGAAGTGCCTCAATTAAAAGCGTCAACTTTTTAAAGGAGTTTTTGTGATAGCAAAGAATGAATTTTTATCTCTGCGTAGTTGCGAAGCAAATTAAAACTACTCAATGCTTTCTAGTGTAACGTTTTGTTTGTTTGTTTGTCTGTTTTGTTTTGATTCTTCCGACTCAGATTCCGTCGATTATTACTCCGATTATTGATTTTCACAAGGTCATAAGCGCTCTCACAACTCCGACTCCGTCGCTATTGAAAACCACCCTTAAGCTCCCTAATACAACAAAACTCCAACCTCAGGGACCGTGGATAACATTTTAAAGAGGTGGGGCTGAGAAATCTGGCCGAGACTCATATGTATAACCTCAACAAATACAATAATTTCGTGATGTTTATATACAGCATAAAAGTGGTTTATAACATCGCTTTTCTGGTTTTCTCTGTCAAGCATCGAACTGTTTTCATTTTAAGGCTAAATTGAAAAAAAAATGTTTCTCCTCCGGATTTCTGAAAAAAGGGCGGGCGCTTTTTCTTCGTTATTTCCGTCTTTTTTATTATTGTCATTTGGGTGCTTTATTTAAAAATTTTTACCCTCTTCCAGGGATAAGTTGGAGTCCATCTTTAATAAATGAAAAAGTCATTGGTAACACACAAATTTGTTTCTTTTAATACATGTTTTGACCCTTTCGCCTCTTAAACGCACAAAACCGCCCATGCGGATCCACGTCCCTTCTACCGCTTGTGACGGCATTAGTTTTAACGGTCAAAGACAGCTTTGTCTGCTAACTTGTGCAGGGTGAAGAGATGTTTCAAACCACACCAGAATGAGCACGATTCAGTCAAGGAGACCGGAGAAAAAGGCAAAACACAATGTGACATTAACCTGAAAATTTCCATGAAATTCCAGTTCCGCTACTCTTCCTTTTATCTGATCCTAAGATCTTAAAAAACTTTCCCAAAAACGTTTTCCACCAAAATGAAGCCTACTTAATGTCCAGCAAAAATGAGGCTAGAATAATTGGTGTTGAAAGAAATATAAACGCCCGTTTGGTTTTTAATTGTTCGCTTTAACTTTTTCAGTACCAAATAATAAAAAAACGAGGGCCGACCCTCAAAAATGAAGCAGCTTTTGCTAGTCATAGCCAGAGTAAGAGTTAAATATTAAATAATATATAGATTTAGCCAGGGCTAAAAGCGAAGCTCCAATTTTAATAAATTTATAATTTAAATCAAACAATAAACTTTTAATCCACAAATCATTTAAGTTAAGGGCACATTCATGTGACTTTTGAGGGAAAGGCTAAGTTATTTCAGAGTGAAACATCTTACATCGAATTGATAACCTTATATGTACACCCAAAAAATAGCAAACATCTTCGATCACATTCAAGATCACAGTAGATTAGGCCTCGAAAACAAATTCTTGGAAAACAAATCACGCCAAATTTTTTTGCGTTCGACAGGTTTACTTTACAAATTCTTGCCAACAAATCTGGGGGTGTTTAAACCAACCTTTTATAATTTTTATACACCACATTTGAGGTGAAACAGTACTATTTATCATACAGAGCTCGGACAGAATGCGGTATTTCACAATTTTTCAAGACAAATTGCACTCAGTCAATATTCAGGACGAGCCAAACCGTTCAAAAATTTCAGAAAATTTCCAAAATCACCCATACGGCCAGCTGGTTCTCGTTTCTATAGTGCAAGCAGTCAGTGTGGTCGAGTGTTTGAATGAACTTTAACAGAGTTACGTTTCAACATAATAGCGAATTTATTATTATTTGTTTTGTTATTTAATGATTTCAGTTATAACGACGTGTAATCTTATAAAGCGTTTGATACGCGCGACATTTTTGAGTACTCCTGCAAGCGATGGTCATGAACGATGAAAACAAACGCCACGGACAAGCGATTAAAATTGCAAGAGAGACTACTAACAATCAAAAAAAGAGATATAATTCCGTGAAACATTTACAAAGACAACAATTTTCATTCACGAAGACAAGTATTAAAGTGTCTCTAAAAATCCTGAGTCTTTAAGCGTAAAGCTTAAGTTTATGTTTTAGCCGGCTTCCCGGCGCGGTGTTTACTGTTCTTGAAGGTGAACTCCTCGAAGCAAGAAAATCGCTCAAAGTTTTCTTTCTACAGCCAAATTTAGAACTAAATATTCTTCGGAACGTTTTCTTTCTATTTGTGGTGAGCAAATATATCTGAAGGCTTTTTAAAGTTCTGTAAGCTTATATCAAACCTGATACTAGGTCAGATCATTGACTCAAATCCTGCAAACGTGCATAAACTTGCCGCATAAACTGTCAGCGTGAACTGTGCAAGACTTCATGAAACACAAACATCAAATACAATAATTACTTAGGCTTACCATTCGAGATTCAGTTCCTGGAAGCTAGCAAGGGAGGCCACAGTTGCTTGAGACTTTTAAACCCTCTTACGCATAAAAGCAAGGTGAAAAACGAAAACGATGCTCTCCGAAATCGAATTACCGAATTTTGACAAGCGACGCATTTCTCAACCAAAACCTAGTAAACAAACCAGCCATGAATAACAGAAGACTCTTGATAGCAGCTGTATTTCATTTTGTACCTCCAGAGGAAAAAGACAGTTAAAAACATCACAAGTTGACACAAAACTCTGTCAGCTTCAGCTGTCAAAGTAAACTACTTTCAAGATGCTGAATAATTTTTCCGCATAAACTCACCTGTCAAATTTTGACCAATCAGAGTATAAAAATTGGACGTAGAGCGTGACCAACGCGTGACCATGGTAAGATAAGGTCTTCCCCGCCTGTACTTTTAAAAAAACTGGATGAATTTTCGCTTCCGAGGTCAGTTTGAATTCAAAATCCTAATAGTGGGGGGCCATAGTGACATAAACACAACATATTTGATATGAATCCTTGGAAAAAATAAACTTGAGCCTGCGATCATTTGAAACTGGTAATTTGTCAGCGGATAACTTTAAAAAAATACTCGACCTCGATGGGTCGACACTTGAGCCCGCGGTACGGTCAGGTGATACTGGTCAGCGGATGCCCTGTTTTGATAGCTGTCAATTGATCACAACATTGATGTGCAGCCTGTGCAATTAGTTTTCTCTTGGGCTCCCAAACTAGCTAAAAGTGTGAGAGAAAACATTGGTTTTCCTGTGGTGTGGACGGACGGCGGGCGGTCGGTCGCTGTACGGTCACGTGATTACCAAATTTTCTGGGATGGGTAGATCTGCTTAGCAATGGGGCTCCGCCCACGCGCGCGCTTCGCGCGCGCGTGGAGCTCCGCTATAATTTTATCTGAGAAGTTCCGCACATGTTGTGCGGTACAAAACTATCTAGTAATAAAATGCCAAGTCGGATCTAACGTTGATCAGATCACCTAGATTATTACACCCCAGTTCTTTTATTGAGCATTCTGCCGATAGGCGTGCATGTGTATCAACTGGAATATAGATACTGTACTCGTTTGACAATAAAAACAATAACCTGACAAAGCTTTGTTGTACTCCAACGCGATTTCACATTGTTCTTGGCAAACGGTAAGTCTCGTCTTAGCTGGTATTAAAGACATGCTTTAGTTTTCTCCAGTGCTTGATTGAGATACTTCATATTCCAATAAATGGTAATGATTTGTTTTACAGAGGTCAAAAATGGGTTTCAGAGTGGCTTTTCTGTTGGTTTTTCTGTTTGTTACTCTAACTGCAGCCAGGAACCTGTTGCCGTTCACAGGTTAGCCTTCATTCGTGTTCACTGTTGTACTGTAAAATGTATTCTACAAAAGGCACGGAGAGTCAACCAATTCTGGCATTGCATAAGAAGGGTTTAATTTAACCAAGCTAATGGCGAACGAAATGGCATGATAGCGTGGTGAATCAGAATATAAATTAACAGAAGAGTGCGTCACTGTCTTGCGCCCATTCTAATTGGAAATGTTTCTGGACTGCATAATTATGAACTGGACGGCATAATTATGCGAAATATGATAGCCACGTCGCGTCGTTGATCAAAAAGTAAATCAAAATATTTTCACGCCCTTTCTGACTTGAAAACTAGAGACAGAGCGAAAAGGCACGAGGCATGAATTCCTGGAGAGCATAATTATTAGAAATCAGAAACTGAGCGCGTTGTGAATCAAAATATATAACAATATTAATAACCTGATATTAACAGAAGAGCGCGCCATTTTTTCATGCCCATTCCAACTGTAAAACAACTTACCGAAACGAAAACTATTGTTAGTATTTATTCATTATATTTTCTTACCAATAATCACTGCTTTTTTCATTGTATATTCCTTAATCTGGGGACAGTTTGTTGTAATTGGCAACAAATGATCTTGTTTTCATTTTTTTGTGCTTGTGTTGATCGCGCAAAATAAGCAATGGACACGGTCAGTATAAAACACGGGACTGCGGCCCTCGGACCACGGAATGCAGACTG